CCCCAAAACCCCAAAACCCCAAAACCCCAAAACCCCTTAAATCAATAAAGATATTGAAAGGAATGTAAACCTGTGTGCAAAAATTCATTATTCTCTGAGCTCAGTGGACCTGATCATTGGTATATCAGTTTCAATTTGTCCACCGTTTGAATATAAAGCTCTTATAATTTCTGTAGGAGCATCTGTAATGAACCCGTCTATAGGATATTTTCTAGCTCTAATGAGTTCATCTTCAGAATTTACAGTAAATATCATCACAAGGACTCCTCTCTTTCTAAGGTGCCAGAACATAGGTTTTCATAGCCAAGTTATACAGACAACAATTTTCAAAAGAAACCAAACCAAACATTTTCTACCACTGTGTTCATAAATTGCGTTTAAAGTTTTCCTTCCAAAAAGTGGAAACCAAAGAATTTGATGTCTAAAAGGAAAGAACTGCAAGAGACCAAAAAGATACAAAAGGACTGTTCTTGTGGTGTACCACAAAGATGAAAAAGAGCCTATTCCAGCATCTTTGCCCATTTCTTGGGCTTGAATATTTTTCTTATTATTCATATCACCGAAGAAGGTGATACCTTCTCTCTGGAACTCAACAATCATTTTATAAACTTCAAAAAGATGTTCAGAACTGCCTCCTTTTAGATCAATATTCATAGGTATTTCTGGAAATTCTTCAAAGACATCCCTCAAAAGTGGAATTTTTCCATCATCGATGTTTGGTTTGAGTCTATAAACACCATCGCCCATTGGGTACCGAATCTCATTCGTTCAAGTCGGGAGGTCCTCATAATTGGTATCTTCAACATCAATATCCTGACCTGTAAGTCTGACTAAGCTCTGGTCATGATGTACCACTACTTGTTTGTCCTTTGTCAGTCTAACATCTAGCTCAAACATGTCCCTAAAAGTCATTAACTGCTAAATTTACACTCCAATATCTTTTGAATTCCTAAAAGCCGGTAAGGTATTCTCGACTCTTTCCCAAGACCCGCCTCGATGAGTGCCGATTATTAGCTTGTCTTTCTTTGCTTCTATTCTTACTGGATCTTTGACCTTATAGATGGGGAAACAGAACAGTATTAGTCCAAGAAGAAGGTAAACACCTCCAGCAGAGATTAGTGCAATCCAATACCACTCCATTGCTGAATTATCTTATAATGATCTATCAATATTTATGCTACGTTACGGGGTTTTGGGGTTTTGGGGTTTTGGGGTTTTGGGG